GGGGAAGAAATAGAGAATGTATGTCCTTCTCTCTCGCGTGATTTTGTTAAAATTAGAGCATACAAAATACGACTCGTATCTAATTAAAAAGTCTATAAAGACCGATATTCATAGTCAGTTCTTATATTTAAGATGGTCTTAAGTACAGTCTTAATATGTCATAAGCCGATCACAGAACAGTATTAGCATTTTAAGACATTACTTGAGGCAGTCTTAAAATAAGAATGGATAAGATTATGCGTATCGGCTTCTCTGAATATAGGCATCGGTCTCTCTCTCTCTGTCTCTCTCTCTCTCTCTCTCTCTCTCTCTCTCTCTCTCTCTAGTTCGATGCGCGGGGTACTTCATCTTTCATCCTTCGAATTCTGCCGCTTTAATTTACTCGCCATGATATCAGATGTGACATGACTCCATTATATGAACGTCGAGTAGGTCGAGCACGCAATTAACAAGTTTACTTGAGAACAGTGCGCGACGAGAAACTACAGTTAGCAAACGAATGCAGTCGAGAGTTAAATCTTAACTATTTCTGACGTTGCAATACGGGGGCGCGTCGTGAAATGCAGCCGGCCTTTTTTTCTTGAGTATCCTTGACTCGTCGTCGAGTATACATCATGCGAACCACAGTAAGCCTCGCGCCCATTTTCTTTCTTTCTTCTACCTTTTCCATCTTCTATCTTTCCCCGATGTGAGATTTTCTTTACACCGAGACGGTCTTGCTCGTATTCAGAATAGCAGTCGACTCTGCTAATTGAGTTCTTTAAATATCGAATCAATTCGCTTCTTTGCAGTTGATTATTTAAAAAAAAAAACCAAAGCGATACTTTCAGTCATTTCTGTTTTGCATCTTTCCAAACAATCCATTCTCACGGCCGGTTATCAGAATCTTGAAAAAAAAAAAGACTGTTGTATCAAATTATATATATATTAATAATACTATCTTTATTGTGTTTGTATTATCAAATAAAAAGTAAACCCCAAATGGTATTATTTTTATTATTTATTTAACTCTGACATATATCATTTGTATAAAAAATTTGGTACCAACAACTGGCAAGTTAAGTTCTATTAAATTAAAAATTAAAACCCAAGTGATACTGTTCTTATTATTTACTTAACTAAGTAAATAATTAAGTTAATCTTTATGAGATTAGGAAGAAATTGCTATTCTACTATGTATGTGTGCCACCAGGCACGAAAGGATTAAGTCATCGATTTTATCTTAGCTAATAGCATCTTAGAACTCATAAAGAACTTATTGCGAAAAATACTTCTTCAGCCAGGATTCAAATCTTCCGAATTCCGTGCAGGCATCCTCTTAGGCTCTTAGGTTGGACTTCCGAGGCATATTGGACTTCTTAGGCAGTAATCAATATGTATCGCAATAATCAATATGTATAGAGAAAGTGTACATTGAAAAACAGCGTGTATAAATGCAATAATATTAAGATTAGAACATAAAACCCTGAAAATATCTTTATTTTCCCTGCCCGTCATTGCGATAAAAAAAGCGCTCGCTTTAATTCAGGAACAATTTTTCTTTTTATCGAGTTGCGAAAAAGAGATAAATATTTAATTCTCAACCAAAACCATTATTTCTCACTGTACAAAATTCTCTATTTATATAATAGTCTTGATATTAATTTCACGATAGAAAATTTTCTGCGAAAATTCAGCGCTTCCTGCATAATTATAAAGTTTCTGGATATATCAAGCGATATTACGGATATTAGTTTCCGGGCTGGTACGGGCAGGAACAATCACGTCCATGTAACGCATCGCTCGTCACAGTGCGTGTCATCGTCGTCATCGTCGGCGGCATTAATCGGCGGCGAAGAAAGACTTCCATGAAGGTGAAAC